CTGAACACAAGTCACCAGGGGTTCAATTATTCATCATTATTTATAGCATAATACACTCATATTACAATTTCTAAGAAAAACCTTTATAACATCACATACTAGTATTAGTTATCAAGTCTGAGTCTTATACCCCTTAAAATATTCATCATTATTCATACTAGAATGGACTTAAACAAAAAAAAAACAAGTCTTAAAACTCAACATTATTCATCCTTATATCCAGGGATTATTTATCATTATGGCATGCAGGTATGTTTCGATCCGTTACTTTGTTATTTGTGTTTGTAATCCTCCTTTTTATTAGATTGCGAAGGGGCCTGGTAGCTCCCGCGCGGCTCGCGTTCTCAGCGTGAGCTGACGATGATAGCTCTGCCCCTATGTCATCTGCGTGCGCAGGTGCTCCACCTCTACTACCTCCGCTCCTGACTTTGTGTCAGACTACAGTAGGGGTGGTGTGATAGATGTTAATAACGCTGCTGATATGGTATATTTTACAGCTTTTAGTTTCTTTATTATGTCTCTGTGTGGATTAACCTCCTTGCAGGCTCCTTTCGCCTCCGCTCAAGAGCGTTGACGCCTCTTCCGAGGATGGGTCTGATGCTGGTATGTTATATTTTTATCTGCTGCAATTGTCAATAGCTTATGTAAATGTTCAGCTATAATAAGCTGTCCTGCTGGTACAGACATCTTAAGACTTATTGGGCATCTCAAATGCCCCTTTACTAGGTATAGTTGCAGCAGCCCTGCTTAAGGGGACTGGAGTAGGGCTTAAAAAAAAAGACTTTAATGCTAAACCTAAGACATAAAAGTAATACTCTAGTCTTTATATACTATGGGTGCTAGGAGCTTATCTATAAACTGGCTGCCTACTTTACCTCAAAACTGTATTTATTCTTCACAATAAAAGTAGGTTTTTTTGCACACCCTCACACCCTATGCTTACTTCTCTATCCTAACCAAGACTATCTAGAGATATGGTTTATAGTTAATAAACTCCTAGAACTTCGACGCCTTAGTGTCTTTTAGTATGTCAAGGCAACTCTAAACTATGTTATCTGCACAGTCTGTGTCTTACCTACTGAAATTAAGTTGCTCAGGCTTTATGTGTCCCATATAGATAATACTAAGCCTTCTTATTAGCTATATTCTAGTACTATTCACTTTCCTGCCCTCAAGTCGCTTAAAATTGGTGCGTACTCTTACCTAGCTCCTTTATGAGCTCTCAAAGCTTATTACTATCAGTACCTGTACCAGGTGAACTTGCAGTTTAAGACTAGAGAGTACATTATATTGGCATTACAGCTGTAATCTGCTAATTGATTATAGATTAAATATGTGAAAGCTGGCAAATAAGGTGTATAAATCTACCCACATACTCCGATTAATCTCTATATACTCTTAGAGGATGTATTAGAGTGAATATTGCAAAATAAGTTGAGTGCAGAACTAGTTCACATGAATGCGGGGTCTATAGACTAGACATTGAGATGCATGTATGAGGATGTTTGGATGTCTAGTAGAACCCCATACTATAATCTATTATGGTTATAGTGTTATAATAAGTGTTACAGAAGGTAGCTGAAGGGAGGGTAGGCACCTATAGAGCAAAAGAGTGTGTCTTCACTATCATAACTGGTCAGAAATTAATTTCAAGTATGATCTAAGACATGAATATAGGATTATATAAACCCCTAAATGAACCTGTCCAGCACTTAAATCAACCTTATAGCTATTATAGATCTCTCACAGTACCATTATTAGTGTTATCTATTTTAAAAATGATAAGTTCACCATAGTATGGCCTTTTCTACAGGTAGGGGTATCATGCACTTCCTAGAAAATAATGCCCTCACCCTGTTAACCTATCTCCATCCTAGAATATATGGCACCTAAGGTCTCAGGGAATTAACTAACCCTCACAGTTACTATGTGGTCACAAATGAGCAGAGATGTGGTAGACCATCCTATAACTCCAGATCAACTTGGATCATGAGATTTCATGCATATAGTCCCAGGATATTAGCAAAACACTGCTCTCCTAAGTACTTAGGCATTCTTGGCAGTGAATAAATGAAGGTAATGATGACAAGAAATATGGCTGATAGAGCTCAAGGATAGTAGGATGATATACCTTTCAAATAAACCCCCTGCTAGTTCTGCATTCATGCTGATTAGTGATGGGTCAGTACTAGCACATTTATTGAGCTGCCACTATATAATGTGCCACTATATATTACTTAATGAAAGTTGTCTATATAGTCAAAATACACAACTTTATGTGACATTCTCTGATGATTCCACTGTTGAACTGCAAAAAAATCCTTTTTAGGAGATATGTCACGCCTGTGACCTCATATAACACAGCAGAAGTATATGGAGTTGAAACCAGTTATTAATTATATATATATAGTATAACATAGACATATATAAGAAACCTTCATTGATTTCATACTAGAAGCAAGTACTGTCACATTCACAGCACTTTAAATTCTTGGTTAAGAATAGTAATATATCTTTAGGATAGAGATAACAGATAGGTAATAAGGCTTTATAGATTTTTTTTGCCTAGAAAAGCTTGAAAAAGACTAATAAAATTATTTCCACTTTCGACAAGTAGGGTTTGGGATGTAGATATTCACTATCTTAGGCCTAAGTCAAAATACAGTTCTTGATTGCATTAATTTCTGCTTAACTTTTGAGGAAAACCTAAATATTACAGGTATATCTATTATAAGGGCTGGTTTCATTTTTAGAGGTTAAGCATTAGTGATAAGACTCCACTCTGGCTAAGCGTGGAGCAGGTAATCCCGGCGCTGCATAAGCAACATCACGTTATTACACTGCGGCATTACACACATCAAACGCATTCACACACTTAACAGTGATGTGTCTCGGCCTATTGACTGATCAGGCAACTCAGTCTGACTCGCCCTTAAAGTTATATTATTTCATTAGTAGTATAAAAAAGCCTGTTCCGCATTTATAATATAAAATAAGTTCTGCTATCTCTAATATGTTCGCTTAATCTAGAGCCCTCACCATCACTCTTGCACTTGCCACCATTGCCCTCACATCTTATGCTCCTAATACTACCCATACCATCCCATCATGCCCTCTGAGTCCTGGGTATGAACTCCCTCAGATTTTATATTAGTTGTTGGACACTAGGAGCTGTGCTGCTTACCATTTATAGTTTCGCTTGTACTCTCAAGCTTGTTTGCAGTACATCATTGGTTATTGGTATGCTGGGCTGGACCTAATGGTCTACAGTGATACATAGGCCACACAGGTGATAAGTACACCTCATTTAAGCCCAAATATTTATCAAAAAAATTAGTGTCTCATTATTATTACCCTGATTTGATTTATTATATATCAGGGTGATTTGTCATATTTAATGGCAATTTGTCACTTATTTTCAATATATCAGATACACTTTGGTGCTTTCCCTAATTTTCGATAGATATGGGATTATATCTTGGGGTATACTGGGTGCATTTATTTGCTATAAATCATTACTACAAAATTGTCAGCTGATATTGGCTTTGAGCTGATAACTCAATATATACCCCAATTTCTTACAAATCATGTCTACTTTCCTAGAGTTTGGCTTATGGCTTAACAAAATCAAACACATAGGAAGGGAGAAAAGAGGAAAGGATGGGAGCTTAGTGTACGTACCTGCTCTAATCTCTATGAGAAAATGCTCTGTTTTGCGGCCGGGAATGGTGTCACGGTTCGGGTCGGGCTGCCGGGCCACGGGGCCGATCAGGCCCGCTCGGGCCCAACCGCCATACTCCTCAATGCTCCCCCATTCCTCCAACCCATTCCATTCAGCCCGGCGGCCCTACGTAGCGATCTGTCCTGGGACCTGGCGCCCATCCGATCCATCCCTAATATCGTAGCATATAAAAACCGTACTCACAAGATATAGTCGCTAGGCTAATATCGTCTATTCTCCGGGCTAATACCCACCTCTCGTGCTCCTCAGACCCTCTCGAAGTCGGACCCCCCGACGCCCCGATATGGCCCGAGCCCGACGCTGACAAACGGTGTCGTTGAGCTCGATAGCAGATGCCCAAATTGGGCGGCCTTCACACGTCTTTGTGTCAGCACTGTTCCGTAGTGTATGCCCTTTCAGGGCATCGTCTCTGTTTGGGCATATGCCTCAGCTAATCGTTTTTCAAACATTGGGCCTCGACTTGACAGCCCGTCACTGGTCGGCACCATTTCCACGGCCAAAGCACGTACTTCTCCAAGAGCATTCCCATGGGCCTTAAGCTGCTGCCACTTGGCTGCCATTGAATGCAATGGACTCAAGAGAAGAGTGCTAGATAAGTAGGCTCCTTGCTATTACATCTTTTCATATGCCCTACATATTTTTATTTTATTTACTGTACTTCAAGTTAATATACATTACTATAGTACTTACTTAATGCCACCAAATATTCGAGTTTTCAAGCAGTTTTATGTATGTCAAATGTGTGCATCTATACAGCAGTGAGAGCTGGAAACATTGGTCTCAACATCAAGTCATTCATTTTATTTCTGCACGCCAACGGCGGGCATGTACAGGTTAGTGTGACACAGTTGCAAACAAAAAAATCTATCCTTGACAAATCATTGGCAGTCCTCATTATTTATTTGAGTCACCTTCTGGTACTTAATCAGCACCAGATGGAATAAATTACTCTACTGACTAGCTCCTACTACCAGCCAACTACCAGCTCCCAACTCTACCTTACGGTTCAGTCACACTGGCAGTCTCACCGCTCGGAAGTCGGGTTTGACAGCAGATCTTCCCGCATCAGACACGGGTGCAATCTCATGCCCATATGTGGGCATACACCGCCACAGACACTGCCTATGACTTTTTTGTCCACTATTTATCAGAAATAAATCTTACTTCAGGACCCATTTTTGGGCAGAAACCTCGGCACCATTTAGCGATCTTCGAGGGGATGAAATAAAGTCCTGAAGTCAAACAAAAACGATTGTAGCTACAGATCACTGGCAGCTGTCCGACTGCGAGCCTCGGCGTGCAGACGGATCAGAACGTCGGCGCCGTCTTCGAACAGGTCGGCGTTCAACAGGGGCGAAATGAGGGTACCCGTAGTGCTCGCGACACTGATGCTAACATCAGCCGGTGGCCGAGCATGAGAAGACGGCGGCTGTGCTGAGTAGGTCGGGAGGGGGACGGAACCGCTCATGACGTGATCTCCCCCGGGAAACCGTGTATCCACGCGCTGCACCCGCGGCTTGCGCCACTTCTTGTGCGGCGCGCGCCCGTGCAGCTCCTCCGGGTCACGCACGTCGAAGTGCAGGCGGTAGCTGAGCTTTGTCAGCGGTACGCCGATGGCAGTATCAGCTGAAAGACGCACTGCTGGCGGAGGTTGTCCCTTCGCGAACACGCGGTGGCGCACCCCGGGAACGCGCAGACAAAGGTCCTCCCACTGCTGCTGTGGATGCGCACGTGCCGCGAGAGGTGGCCGGCGGTGGAGAAGCGTTTCGCGCAGTGCGGGCAGAGGCGGGTTTTTGCAGGCCGTGAAGATGTCGACGCTTGCGGAGGGGACGGCAATGCGGAGGACATGGTGGTGCAAAAAAGAAAGACGATGGTGGCGCCGATGACACGTCTCTGCTGACGTGTGCGGTTAAACGGTGCAGCGGAACAATCACCGCATCCCACTTATTGATGCACGTCCAGAAGAATGGACTGTGTCAGATAAGTGAGGTAGTAGACGGAGGCACGGTCGATAGATGCCCATAGTTACAGCAGACGGACAAAGAGCTGCGCTGTTGCCCCACGCTCTGCATAGTATGAATACCGGTCCGGAGTGGGCTGCCGTTTCGGGCCCGTGTCCGCCTCGTGGCTCCAGAAGATTCATACAACTTAGCTACACACGTTGAGTTGATGATGTCGATGCGCGAGAGGGTGGGGTTGGGCATAAGCCAACGGCGAGCGCGGCGGCCACCAATCCGCGCGGAACAAGAAGAAGCGGCCGTATCATGATGTGATCTCCCAATGATGATGTGATGATTGATCTCCCAGTCACATCTTACGCAACCGCCTCCCTTCTTGTTCCTGATGCCCATCTCGCGCAAAATGCCGGCCTCTATAGCACACCTACGCCGCCAGCTGGCGCGGATAGATTCAAGCGAGACAAATAAGCTTGCAGCGGACGAGCGAGAATCTGGGGATATCGAGCAGAGGAGGGTGGATGCCTAAAGGCGACATGGTGCGTCTTATTTTCCGTTCAGCCAGTAGTGCAACAACTTACTCTCGCTAGTCATCCGTGGACGTATATCGACCTAAGGGCAATAACACGTGAGTTCTTGCCCGGAATTGGGGCTCGTCGCATTGGGCCATTGGCAGCTTGAAGCGAGGGAGTATGTACTTACTTTCCTTCCATCGACACTTGCCGTCTGCTCACCCGACAGTCTAGAGATTAGGCACAAAGGCTGCAAGCCGGTCGCGCGAACTTGACACCGTCTACGATATTGGATTCAGCCCAACTGCCGTTCCCAAGCCGTTCCAGACGATGGCGCTATCCCCATAATGCAGCTCGCGCCTTACCACCGCCAACCCAGCACTGTATCGTTGGCGATACATGCATGCCCCCGCTGCATCGGTGCCCGGGTGATCGACGCGAGGTGATCCCGTCACGCCACGTTTTTTGTTCTTCTTCTCTCATCTGCCTCCGACGTCCGTCCACGGCTCAAGTTCGGTAGGGACGGCACCGGTGCTGGATCGTGGTGGATAGCGCGGAGGCCAATTGTGGCGTGCACTTGGGCGGGTCTGGTGTTGCAGGCGTGGTAATGCGCAACTTCAGGCTCTGGACCAACGGAGAGGAGAAAACACGCCCTGCGAATCCGAAACCCATGGGCTATGTCGTCACCGTTCACGTCGGCCACAAGCCGCTTCGCGCGCGGCGGACACGTGTATGCACTCGGCAGGCCAAATAATCGTGGCGTGGGGTGCCTCGCTGCAGACATGCGTCGTGCTGGTGGGCATGTATAAGACACAGCGCCAGGCTGTTAATGCGCGATACTTGCTTCTCCTCATCGTCTCCCTCTCCCCGCTCACAAGTTACAACAACAGCCACGAAACACATCCCCCCCCCTTAATCATCGATGAGCACCCCGTCCCCCTCTCCCACACCTGCGAGCGGGTCGCCCTCGCGGTCGATTCGCTCACGGATGGGCGGTGTCATGCGACGAACATCCTCTATTCTCGCAATGGCGAACCCTGCCTCCCGCCCAACCACCCCTGCTGTGTCGACAGACGACGTGTCCAGACGCTCGTCGGCGTCGGGCCCGTCGGGCCGAAACGCCGATGCCAAGGCGTCAACGACATCGGTGAATAGCCAGGCTGTAGTGGCGCCCGCACCGGTTGTTGCTGCACCCTCCCCCGCGACAGCGCCAGTCATAATCCCGGCCCCGCCCATGGAAGCCCAAGCTGCCCCAGCTGCCGAGCCCCAGCCTACCGCCACACCTACTACGACCACGAGCTCAGTGTCTGTCGAGCCAGAGGCCTCATCCGAGGCTACTGCAGTCCCATCGGACCCTGCGCCACCCGTTCTCGTTGACTCTCCTCCTCCGGTCTCCGCCGACACCACTCCCACCGCCTCGCCCCCACCTTCCCTCATCCCAAAGCCCTCTCCGGCAATCAAGCGCCTCCTTCCCGTTGCCACACCTTATTCAATGCACCCGTCTCCGATTATGGAGTCGCCTGCCCGCGAGGCCGAGGCTAACGCCGAAGAAGCCGCGGAGGCAGCACAACGTGCCCGGATCGTCGGGCCGGCGCCGCTCGGGCCAGCTGTCGCGGCGGTCATGTCCCCGCCTACCCAGCCGGAGTTGGAGCCGGTCCCGGCGGATCAGCCAGTCCCGACGGAGGAGGCGGGGTATGTCCCGCCCCCGCTGGTGTTCGATAGCAGTAATCCCGGCGCGTTTACGGACGAGCCTGAGGCGATTCCCATCGCGCCGGCTGCCGTCCCGGTTGTCGAGACATCTGCGGAGCCGGCTATCCCGGTCCCGAAGTTGGACCCCTCACCGTCCTACTTCGACCTCGTCCCGCCTTCTACCCTCCTCCACCCAATCGAGGCGCTGTCGCCCGACTCGGTCGCGACCATCGTCCCCGGCGCGGGCCAGACAACGGTCGCAGCGGAGGAGGAGTGGCAGAGAGCTGTGAAAGTTGAGCCGTTCCCCTACGATGCGGCGGGAGGAGTCCCTGTGTTCGTCGCGGAGCCAACGCCAATGGCGAATCCGTGGCCGGAGTCCGGTCCGACAATCCCCGAGCCGGCGCCGGCAGTAGAGACGGCGCCAGCGCCTTCTATGCCGGAGCCTGTTCTCGCTCCTGTTTCGTCTTCGGTCGTCCCCCAGCCTGTATCAGCGCCTGTGGCCGCTTCAGTGCCAGTCACTGTGATGACCGACAGTCCCGCTTCGCTTGCGCACCCGCGACCGTTGCCCAGTCCACACGCTGTTCCGCCGATTTTGAGTGAGGTGGATGTCCAGGCGTTGCCCGATATGGACGACGGGCAGCCCGCGCTAGCGGCAACAGAGGAGCGAAAGGACGCGCGGGAAGTGGGACAGGGCGGGTGGTGGGAGATGGCGGTGGACGGGCCGACGGGGGTCGCGAGGGCGATTGTTATTCCGTGAGTGCTTTTTTCGGTCTTTGGTGAGGCAATGTTGATAGGTTTTGACAGAGACCCGGCGGTGCAGTTTGATAATCAAGACCCGTTCGCAGACCCGCCGCCGGCGGGTGTGAGGGAAGAGGGAGTCTATGTTGTGCCCGTGTAAGTTTTGGTGTTCCTCGTCGTGTGTTGTTGCTCACTGGTCATATGTAGCCCTGTGGGCTTGCCGGTCCCTGAGCGAGGTTACGACGCCGGGAGCATACGGGACGTGTCGACGCTCCCAATACCCGTTCCAAAGGATGCCCTGTTTGGGTCGATCCGGACCGTGCCCTCCGCAGAGAACATCCCCCTAGCCCCCGATCCGTTCTTCGAGCGCGTCGTGAGCGACGACCAACCGCTGCTCGGCGGCGCCAACTCCCATCATTCGCATCACCATCATCACCGCAAATATCACTCGACCGCAACTGGCACGACCCTTGCGGATGGGCCGGATGGGCAGAGCCTGCACGATCTCGGCTGGCTTGTATACGCCCTCCCGGACGGGCTCGGCGTGTACTTTGTGCATCCGAGCCTGAAGGTGATCACCGATGCGGATTTGCGTGTGCCGGTTGTGCTTGCGCGCATTGGGCGGGCGGTCGGGTATGGGTATGAAATAAACGGGAACGGGTATGGGTCGGGGGAGGAGGGCAGCGTGAGGGGGAAAGGAAGGGAGGTGTGGTTGCGGGAGGTGCCGGTGAAGAGTAAGAATGCGAAGGGGCGGAGTAAAGGGAAGGGCAAGGGCAGGATGGGGCGGGAGGACCTCGCGGAGCTGGGCTTGGCAAGGTGGTGGATCGACCATGGGAAGCGCGAGGTTGTCGCGGATGAGGCGGTCGTGAACTCGGAAGATCGTGAGTTTTCCCAGGGTTGGAATTTGGTTATGTTAGACTGACGAGGGACAGATCTGGACAAGGAGTACAGATACTGGGCTTTCGTAGAGGCGCACCCTGCACACTCGGTCGTCCCGTTCAGCGTGAGGAAAGAAGCGGTGGATTTGTTGACGTGGGCGTGGACTGGTGCGTGGCTTTTCGATCCAACACAGAGGATGATGGGCTGATTGTAATGGCTAGATCGATTGCTGCCCCCTGCAGAGCAGCCTACGGCGCCGCCGTTTACGCAAAGTGAGTGTCAGGAGTTGTTGGGCGTGTTGCGGTCCTTTGGAGGTGCGTTCTTCATACCCTTTAATTTGATCGTGATGGTTGATGGAGACGGTTTGTAGATGTCCCGCAGCAGCAGGGAGAGGGAATCCAGAGCGTCGTGCTCACGCGGCTCGTTTCACGTATCATGCTCCGTCTTGGTATGCCATTTTGCAACTCATAGCAATTGTACTGAATTGATGTATAGCGCATTGGCGCCAACACCATTTCCGCCCACACAAGCCGCTCCCCCTCGAAGCGCACCAGAACAAGTCTCGCAGTCGTGGACCCGGCTTTGTCCGCCGCGCACTGGATGCGCTCGTCGCGGCGCTTCTGCTCGGAGTGCCATTTTTGTTCTACCACAAGCACGTTCCAGACGCGGAGGGTGGACGAATCTACGGGCAAAGGAGTATACTCCCCATGCTAGTTGTCGGCGCAGCAACGTGTCTCCTCGTAAGTCTTCTATACCCCCGCGCTTTGCCATCCCCCCTTTTACCCTACTTTCTCCTTCTCTTCTTCTTTTTCATATACGTATCCTCACCCCTGCAAAGGCGGCCCTCCTGCTCAGCACCTCAATGACCTTCCTCACGCTCCCAGGGCTGGCATCTGCGCCGCGCATCGGCGCGCTGGCAGTTGCCGTCTGTGCCGCGGGCGCCGTGGTCGCCGGGCTCGTTGCGCTCCTCCGGCTCAAGGCAGATCAACTCGCTGCCGCGCGCCTGAGTGACCCGCTCCTGCGCGGGGTGCGCTTCGACCCTGCGTGGGAAAGAGGGGAGGGCATGATGCTTGTTTCGGTGCGTGTTCCCATCCAGGATTTTGGCGAGGACGCTGATGGAGAGACAGACGCGCAGCGTGGTCATGTCGCTCCCCCTCGTGCTGCTGGTCTATGCGCTGCTCGGGTTCGTCGCGGTATTGGCACTCTATGCGGCTGGCCCGCCGCCTGGTGCGCCCCCGCGTGTGGGCGAGGTTGCGAGGTATGTGGTGCTTGGTTTGATTGGGGGACTTGGCGGGGTGTTGGCTATGAGTTTGGTGTTGCTGCGAAGGTGATGTTTGGTTGGACTGGGATTGATGTATGTGTAAATTGCCTTTTATTTATGTCATATGCCCATCTGCACTGAGGTAGAGAGTGTGGGAACCCCGCCCCTAACAAAACTATCAATTGATGGCATCAGAGACAAAATTCGGCAAAAAAAAAATCTTTTTCCCAACTTTTTTGAGCCAAGTTCAAGGTTTCTGAGGCTGATATCAGTAATTTTGAATGTATTTCCACCACCTACTAAGTATTGCAATCATTCTTTGTCAATAATTATATCAAATTATACATAGCTTATAGGTTACCCAGGTATACCCTGTAGACTACAGTACCCCCTGGGTAACCTATACATCATTCAGAATTGATTCACAGACTACAGACTTGTTGATCGATTCTGTGGCCCTGCCACATGCATGACCTGACACATGTGGCAGAAATACGCAAGTCAGCCAAAGACCAAATTTGGTATGACCTCCTAAGTCCAGTGCATGCTGTAGAGACAGAAAATCTTTTAGAAATTATCATTTCAGGATGATTTACAACTGAAGAAATACACCACCAAAGTGCTCACAGCTGTTGGCCAGCTGGACATTCCAGGTGGTCTCCACACAAACCAACATCTGGGTCCAGATGGATTCCACCTGATCTCCAGCAAAAACATCCAGGTGGAAAATTCGAGCTGGAATTCAAATGGGAGATTCCAGCTGGAATTTAAATGGAATATCCATCTATATTTTAGTATTTTCCCTATATGGGAGTATTATACTAGTGAAGATTTTTCAACTCTATATGTGTACTATATATACTACTCAGTCTCATATGTAGTCTGACTGCTCAGTTTCCACAGTATCTGAGTTAGGGATGCCGCCCGTTGCCGTAACGGCAATGGCCGTCAATTTCGACGGGCTTGTACGGTAACGTCAATACCACGGCCGTCGAAGGAGACAACCGGAAGGTGGACGGGTACGGGACGGTTTACGGGACGGCTGTCATGGCATAGAAACGGGTGACGGTTACTATTTTTGTTGGGCCAGACCCAAGGAAGGCATGTAAGCAATAAGCAAGTACAGTACTACCCCACAATTTCCAACACAGCCTCGCGTGCAAGCCGAAGACATTGTTTGACAATCATCAAAGTGCTAATCGTGTCTAACCGCAACCGCTGAGCCTGAGTGACAGTCTTGAGTTAACGCATATGAAGCTGAAGCGGAATGGTTCATACCAGGAATTGTGAATAGGTCACGGGCAAGACAATACAGGTTCGGAAACTGGGGGCGGCGCGCAACCCACCACTTGATAGGGTCACAGGTAGTAAAATCCTCACGAGGAAGGTTAAAATACTCGCGCAGTTCATCCAGAACACGCTCTCATTGCACCCGATACCGTGCAGTAAAGTCCTTCTGTGGCGACCCCCCCTACACGTTGTACGGCCGTTAGTGTGATGGTCGTAGAGATGAGATTGAACTTGAGGTAATTGGACTTGAAGTGGTCATCTAGCGTAAGCTTGGAGGTCTCCAAATAGGAGAGGAGATCATCATCATCACTGAAGTCCTGTTTCAAGCCCTCGTACGAGATTCGGGGATCAAGCACTATTGTAAAACATCAGTCTTGGCAAGTCCTCCGGCAAGTCCTCCGCCAAAAGGAAATGCACGCACACGCAGCCCAGGTATAATATGGGGATGCTTCTATCTTGTAATAGTAGTTGCTCAATTTATTATAGGCTGCAAGAAGCCCGTTTCGGAGAGCAGATGGTGTTGAAAGAGGGAGATCACGGAGACAGATCTTCAAATCATCTTGTAGACCACGAAATATGGCATGCGTGTATGATAACCTAGGTTTCTTGGTCGTTGACATAAGCGTGGTTGCTGTGCGAAAAGATTTTAGCCACCCCGAAACGAGAATGATACCATTCCAGTCATCATCATCAAGATCGAGGTGACGGAGCTCACGATGCTTGCCCATGAAATCATCAGTGGGTTGGTGATAGTGAATACTTCGGCCTGTAGATGATTCATATGGTATTATTTATGTCCGAGTCAAAGCCTATACATACGTGTCATGGCATGAGTCGACGACCATCGCGTCTTCACATCCAATGTTGGGAGTAGGACATGTGCGCCTAGATTCCCCACCCGGAAATCCTCTGAGGCCTCCACCTCACGAATCCATTCTTGACGTCTTTGTGGGCTCGATCAAATCGCGCGATTGATTTGACGTAGCTAGGGAGAATAAGATTTAGCACAAAGCATGTACAAAGGAATATATACTACACCTTTTGAATGGGCTTGTACTTAGGCTAACGATGGGGCTGATCGTTCCCATCGTCAGAATCCCCAGCATTTCCCTCGCCTTCATTGTCGCTATCATCGCCTAATGATGCAGTAACGGAAAGCTGATATTCCCCACTCCGACCTTCGGCTTTTTTGCGGTCCGATTTAGAGATGGCGCCAATTGTTTCCAACAACTATGGAATCGTTAGTTGTCATATGTAGGACGGTCAGGTCTGCAAGCACACCTTAATTGCGGCGAGGTGAATGGTGTGCGGCAAACAGTGAATACACGCTGCTGAATGAGCAAATAAGCATTGTTCAAACACAATTGTTTGGGGCGAGGTGTACCTTCTGTTCCAATGCATATTTCTCTATTCTTTCCCACACAATCTCCGCCATATTATCGCCTGAATGCTCCCTGACAATCTCTTGGAAATCGATCAGCAGCTCTTCAAGTCGCCCATCATTCATCATGTAATGAGCGACAATGGCAAGGAAGGGGTGCTGATTCAGCGACGTCCAAGCATCCAGAGAGATGCTAACCTTGGATTCGAAGTTCTTGTAATGGTACTAGTCGGAATCAATATCTGTTTGTGAATCTACGCACAGCAAACATTTTTCGAGTACCTTCAACAGTAACTTGTCCCATTTTCATGATGCATGTGCGGATGGCAGTACGACCGGGAACTTTGAAGCTTGAAGTGACCCCATGGTGAGTGTACTTGAGTAGCCGAACGAACTCAGGCCACTCAACCTCCTCAAATGGCTGGTCGCAAGCGACTATCCACTCGGCAAGAAGGCCTTGGAATACCTTATCCTCAAATTCTCCCTTAGTGCACATCAGCAAGCAGTAATTGTAAGGACTTATTATTCACCTGATCCTTCTCCGCTTGTCTTTTCAGAGCCTGTACGATACTGATACTTTCTGTTGCTGCCTCTAGCTTAGACAAATATGCACGCGCTTCGTCGCTGTCAATCAAGACGTTTCCCTTGGCCAAGTCAATCTCTTGTTCAGTCAGTGGGGTATTGCGGCCAGCATAGGGACTACAGAAAAGTCGGTAATGTAGTGGCGAGTATTTCTTGAGATGTGCCGAAAGTTCTGATGAGAACGTAATACAGTCGAACCCCTCATAAGTCATACTGTTCGGTGGAACAGGCAGGTCATGACTTATGAGGGGTCATGCCTTTTGAGGGTAGAGCAAAAATTCAAATAAAATTCGATTTTTTTTCACTGTCTATGGGTTGCTACGCTATGTAAGACTATACTAGGTGGTTCTAGAGAAGTATTCAGTGATTTCTGAGCTATGCATAAGGGCCATTGCCTCCAGCTGAGTTTGCCGGCCAAACAAGGCAAGAACACGCTCCATTTTGCGTGCATATTCATCTCCGATGGTAGCAGAAAAACGTTGCAGCAGCGACACAGCCTCAAGAGCCTCGCGACGCGTTGGAGCAGGTCTAAACTCTGCATCATCGTCTGCATCATCGTCTCCCCCAACAAGATCGGCCAGCTCTTGAGCCGTCTGCGCATCAACGACGGCCTTGACAATCTCGTCAACTGTTGCAGCGCCTGTGAGAATATTTTCTTCGACTGGATTGAGCAGTGCTTCAATCGGCAGCCGATTGTTGCGTTGTAAGACCCGACGCGACTCCAGACCATCGAGCTGATGCTCAAGGTCAGCCTCCGCAGCGGCAACAGGATTGGTGGTGGTGGAAGAGTTGGAGGAGCCGGCTGGAAGGAGGGATTTGGGGAGAATGCCGGTCTTAATCCAGCAGTGTGCAATGGTCTTCTCGCTGACCTCATCCCATGCTTGGGCAGCCAAGCGCATGCCACGAAGCTGGTCGATGTCATAGATTTTGGCTGGGGTGATGCCCTCGTCGTAGCGGTCGATAGCATAGCGAATGTATTTGGATCGATAATGAGCTTTGAAGCAGCGAATAATGCCTGCATCATCAGGCTGGACGTGGGCGGTTAAATTGGCCTCAAAGTTCTCAACCCGGATGTTGGTGAGACTGGAGGGTGGTTTATGGGCAGAGAAGTTGTCTTGAAGAAGAAGAATCTTGCGCTTCTGGTGACGCATATCGGTGTCGAATTTTGTGAGCCATTCTTGATAAAGTATTGTGGTCATCCATGCCTTCGCATTGTTGCGATAATAGAACCCAAGGGCAGCAGCAGTCCGACGCTCAAAGCAACGTGGCTGTTTTGCCTTGCCAATGACAAATGGCTCGCGCTTGTCGGAGCCATCGGCGTTGACAGTGAAGGCATATGTCAGCCGCACCTTGTTCCCTTTCACACCACTCGTTGTCTTGTTTGACAATCCACGATCCGGCACGAATCTAAACAACATATCAGTCCCTCATCCAGCCTGGAAATGTCTACGAACGCATAGAAGAGCCCAGTCTCATCCATATTGTACACATCTCGCAGTGCGTAACCACCATCTTCAATCACCTTCGAGATCCGCTCACGTTCTCGCTCGATAGCGACCGGGTCTGCTGATGCCGCCTCGCCATGTCTTTTGACTTCATGAAGACCAAGACGGGTTTTGAGACGCCCTAGCCAACCATTACTCAGTGCAAGCCTCTCGTCTTCAGGAACACCAGCCGCATCAGCAAACTCTGTCCATTTCTGCCGCAAGACCTCGCCATTCACAAGAAGACCATTGGCCATTGCTTGCTCGACCCAAAGGTCGTGCATTTCAGTAACCTCAGGATGTGTCGTCTGTCGAGCGCGCTTGGCCTTGTGCGAGTCGCCATACATGTTGTTTTCGGTGCATATTTTTGCCTCATTCTTCACCCATTTTGAGATGGTAAACTGCTTCAGGCAAAGGTTGGGATAGATGGGCTGGAAATGCTGGGCTGTTTTCGTCTGGTTCTTGCCATTGGCTTGGTGCCAGTCAAGAATCTCGAGGCGTTGTGCATGGGTTGCTCGCTCGCGATGGGTGAAGACTGGTGCGACTTCCTTTTTCTTGCCAGGCTTTTTGTCGGCAGGAACCACAGGCTTTTGGGTAGGTGCTGCAATGGTTTAGAAGATGACATGGCTGATGCTCATGCGACAGACCTTTACGCTTTTTGCTGGTCTTTGGAGCCGCTGTAACAGCAGTTTTTACTCCTAGAGCAAACTCCTTCAACTTCTCCACTGCCGTCTGCAGCGTGGGGGGAAGCTTTGCAGCCTTGGAGCTGATGTCAGAGCCCGAGGCTGTCTCCAGTGCCTCAAGAGCACGCTCCTCGTCAATGACATTGGCATCGCCATCGAGCCAGGTCTCCTCCTCCTTTGTGAGGCTTTCCCCGGCCTTCAGACGTGACTGAAGGGCATTGGACTTCGACTTCACATGAGCCTTGAGGCGGGCTAGGCCTTCCTTATAGTCCTTGAGCTTGAGCATGGCCATGAAGGATTTTTTTTTCGTGTTTAGACAGAATCACTCAATTTATAAGCTTTGATTTGATCCAAAATTTCCTTTTTTAGACAGAATCATGACTTTCTATGCCTGATTTAGATATGACTTATGACTTTATATAGACCTATGACTTTCCCCCGCAAACCAAGCCCGTGGAAGCGAAAAATCATGACAATGAAGGGGTTATGCCTTTTGGGAGGCATGACTTATAAGGGGTTCGACTGTAAGCAGATGATATGAATTGAAGGAATGCTACGCACTAGCGGTATTGTATCGCATGCTTTTTGTAATTGTGAGGACAGTGCGATTAGCCCCATGTCGAGAAATATAGTGCTTGTCTCCACGTTGGCCAACGGTGCCTTCCTGGTTCCGAGGAACGATATCAAAGAAATAATAATATATCGGGTTCTTTTTCTGAAAGACAGTAAGACGAAAAATGGCTTATATTTGCTCGATCTTACACGGGAGGTCAGCAGGGCCTCTTCATCTTCCTCGTCGTTGGTCAACGTGCTGGCGCTACTGTTGGCAGAGAGGCATGCTGCCTTGTTACTCGAGAGCTCCGTTGCAGTGTTTGGCTTGCACTTGCTGCCATGCGACTGCGTAGCCTTAGCAATTGAAGCTCCTGGGTGGACGGGCACGGTCTTCAACGCCAGAAGGTCGGCAATCTGTTGGAGACTTTTGTTAGACCCACCAACACCGCAAAAAAGCCACACACCTCATCATTGTCGATCATATCCTCACCATCGGAAGAGTTGTCCTCGGAGTCTGACATGGGCTCTAACGCGGGGAGGTTGTAATCGTCGTCATCTTCCTGACTTATCGTCTCCGCAACCAGCGCAACACGACTCTGAGGTGCTTTGCGCGTGCAGCGCGGACGGGGAACTAGAGGATTGCCATATTCGTCGACTTTTTCGGCGGCGAGATATAATGCGAGATTGTCAGATTGACATGGTCGGTCGCTACGACGCAGAGGTTGCTGGGCTTAAGGAACTGTCAGTGTTAAGCAAGATATGATGGAATGGCGCACGAAGCGGGCGGTCGTCACTTTCAGACTTGTAGAATGTGATGTCATTGGCATCTTTGAGGTTGCTATTGGCGTCAACTGCACACTGGTCAGACATGGAGGTTTTGGAAAGGGAGGGCAATCCCAGTTGGTATATCTAGAATCTAGCATAGAATATGGGCTGGAGTCCAAGGCTCTTTTGCATAGAATATGGGCAGCATCCCAGAAATTATTCCCTTATAATAAAATATGAGCTTTATACATAAAATATTAATGGTCCCAGGTTAGGATGGACAGTATCTGAGGGAATTGATTGATGTGGAACGATTTTTGATTGCCATCAGTAGTTTTGATGAGGTTAAATCTGAAGGAAATAAGATCAATATCTCTTTGTAGTGTGACACAGTCACCCTAATTACATACTGAATCATCAGCCTGAAGAAAAGGATTTTTATCTTAATGAATATATTATTATATCTGTCATATTTGATGTTTTTGACTTCTTTTTTAGGACACCTCTATTCTATGCAAAAGATTCCTGGACTCAGGCCCATATTCGATGTGAAATCTTGGGTATAGAGGGTGGCAATCCATACCGGGTTTTATACTTGCTGCAATGGAGAAATACCCACAGAAAATGTCAGCAACAATAGACAATCGGACGTCTTTGTAAGAAAAATTTGCCTTCTTTCGCGGGAGATACATGGTCTTGTTGCAAGGGATGGGCACCGCGGGTTGGAACAGCGGCCAAGAACAGATTTGTGAGCGGTTTTGTGGGGCCCAACGTCGGATTGTCCATAGGCATAGGCAAAATGTGCCGATGAGAGACAGTCAGTGGAGATAAAGCCAGTGGCGCTGTAGTAGATGGTCTCAAAGGGAGTGGGTGTTGTTTTGACACAGTGTAGGTGAAGATGTATTATCGATGAAGCAACGATGAAGACCGCTCGAGCATGGTCGTCGAAAGTAGGCCACGTCACGACTTAGTCATATGTGATGACCACATGTTGGCCAAATCTTCCCTCAATGCATTCCGGTGTTACGGGCATTGCGGGCAGCATCAAATACAGTGCACAGACAAGACCAGCAATGGCAGCAACCCATATATATGGCTGTCACGGCCGTAATTCTACGGCATCAACAGGCTAGACCCGGACCGTAACCATCCCGTTGGCGGGGCAGCCAAACACCTCATCGGTAACACATAGCCGTAAGCTGTGACCGTCAACCCGTGGGGACGGCAACGGGCGGTATCCCTAATCTGAGTCCATACCCCCATCATCACTATCAGTTGAGTGTTCAGTCTCTTGTGACCTAGATACTGTCAGACAAGCAGTTTCACAGGTATTTCTCTGGGTTCTGCCAGCTGCTAAGCTTGTATTGCCAGTGAGAGCAAGAGAGACAGTAGGAAGGGTGCTGGAGGCCTTTTTGGGTCTTGGACGACCCCATTTTCAAGGAGGTGCATCATCAGCAGAGGTTGGTGAGTGTCGGCATTTAGTTGACCATGATGAGTAAGATGCAGGTCCACTGCTACAACTATGTTTGTGAGTGGCACCACAACCACATCCTGACCTGGCATGTGTGAAGCCCTGGTATCATCATTAGCCTCAGTGTTGTCCCTACCTAGCCCATGGCCTGGCAGCTTCTTGCTTCCACCCTTTGATTCCCGCAAATGCAGGGCAAGTTCATCATGTTTCAAGGAAAACATGATGTGATGGTGGTGGGGAGGATGTATTCTAAGCTCCATCCCAGCATGCAAACACTATTTGGTGGAGTGTTCAGAAACAAGCGCAGTCGATTTTATATTTTTGCTTGTGTACTATCATTCTGCATGAGCAAGGGCGCTGGCCGCTTGGAGCCCATATTGGTGCAGCATTCAGCCCCGGTGTTCGGTCCACGACTGAATGCTGCATGCTATACGAAGATTAACCCAATTGTTTTTGTAGGGAAAACGTATTGGAATGGTGGGCAATTGGCAGGCTGCAGTGCCGGTGCATTAGGGGAGTTCACGGACCGACGGGCGTCATTCACGGTAGGGTGGGCAAACCAGCGGGTAAAACATTAAGAAATTATAAATATACATATCTTTCTGCCCTGCACACCGAAATTCAGTGGGCAAGTTTTATTCAATGGGCAGGCAAAAGTTATTACCTAAGCTTAGTGACTGACGCGGCACGTCACACACTGAAAGCTTCCCTCTGCTGACGCCATGTCCGCATCCAACGCGGACAGCGACAAGGACATAATCATTGCCCGTCTGCAAGCTCAGCTGCCTGCTGCACAGGGCTCAAACATCACGCTGGAGCCCGAAAAACGCTGAGCCGGCCGCCCAAAAGGGTCAAAAAACAAGACCACCCTGAAGCCCAAGCTGCGGACAAAGGCCGCAAGAAGCAGCAAGGCCAACGAGGCGCCACCTGTTCCAAAGCTGGAAAAGACAGATGAGCTGACAGAAGGTGTCACTGACATTCCATACATATCCACTTCTGTACTATCATCTTGCTGATTTCGACACAGCTGGAAGAATGAACCAGCTCTCTCGGAGACCCTCATCACCCACATCGAGAACAACAAGGCCCGTCGAAGTGCACTAGGCTTTATAAAAGGCAACGGGCCTGACGCCGGCCACTCAACCGCTGCCAAACCCATCGACCATCATAAACGGCTTGCCGAAAAGACGCTCACCTGCGACGCGCGCTGGGCTCACATTCTGCCAGAGAAACTCGTCTTCCAAGTCCGCAGACAGCTCAAAGCGTGCGTGGCTTTCATCTCACTCACTCCCATACTTTGCTGACAAAACTTTCAGTATGCGTAGTATCACAACGTGGGAGCTGGCTAAATTTACCCAGACAGGTGCAGGTCTGGTGGAGCAGGGAAAGGAGGAAGAGCTGGAAGGTGATGCCGCGAATATGCTTTGTATGTTGCAAATATTTCTCTTTCCAAGAGGTTTCCTCAATCCAAACGGAACAGGTCCTCATCAAGTACCCGTGGTTCCTGAGCATGGCACAGCTGATGCGCGGCAGCTCTGTCGCTGACCAGCGGCATTGCTTAAACAGCACAACATTACTCAATGAAGGGCTTGACCTGATGCTTGGATGTGGTGCTTCCTCGGATGTGTGTGGCCCATCTTTCCTTCACCCCTATAAATCCTACATGACACCCATCCAATCTACTGAGGATTGTGAGTCTGAAGACAACCAATAAGGTGTGGTGATGATACTCCAGGAAACAACAAAGGAGGTAAGTATATTCAAATATGCAATGACACATACATTATGGCGAAGAAATCAATGAAAGAGAAAGTATCGTAGCAAGACCGATCTACGCATATTCCGGCGGCGGATCGTCAAAGTCCCCGCCAAACGACACACCCCGACGCTGCTGTGCCTGAGTCAACTGCTGCCTGGGCTCCCCCGCCTCTCGTCTCCGCACGGGAACCAGCGGCACCGTGACGTCCGCGCTGCCGCCGCTCTTGCTCGTCGACCCCGACACCGGTCGCTGATTCATATCCTGGTATCCGCCCAGCGAAAGGGTGGCGCTGGCGCTCGACGGCGTCGTGAGCGACGTCGTCGTCTGCGAGTAGCCGCGCGAGTGGAGCGATGCGGTGCTCGGCCCGGTTGCCCCGGCGCTCGTCGGCGAAGGCGGAGTCGGGCGCGGAACCGCCGGCCCGCTGTCCCGCGGCCCGCGCCGTGCGGCCCGCCGGCGGTGATGGCAGACGAGCAACAGCGCACAGAGAGCCGCGAGGGCCGCGACTGCGCCGACGATCCCGCCCGTGATGGCCCCCGTATGCGATGCCGCTTTGCTCTGGTGGGCACCAGTGTTGCCATCCTTATCACCGGAAGTGCCTGTATACCTATTATCAGCACGAAGGACAGATAGTCATTACCAAGACGCTCACCCGCGCCAAACGTCAGCACCCCCTCGCCGAGCCTCAGGCTCGCCGCCAGCGGGGGCGGCACGGGCGAGCCAGGAAAGTCGATCCATGCCGCGGCGTAGAGGACATGGATCGCGTTCGTCTGGTTCGCAAACGAGACGTTCGTGCCCGGGGCCGGCGGCGGGCCCGTCCATTGCGCGGCATACAGGTTGGACGCGGGATTGGTGCTGTTCACGGGCGGGGCGGTGAGGTTGTACGTGGCGAGGTCGGTCACGGCGTTGTACTGGGAACGAGTTGAGGCAATGGAAAGAGGAGAATCAAGGGTAAAGCGGACCTGGACGGCGACATAGTCGTGAATGTATCCCCTGTTCCCCGAGTTGGTCGCATTGTAGAGATACGCCCACGTCAGGGCCCGCACAAGCAGCCCGTCCCCGACTTTCGTGTCTTTCAAATTGATAAGTGTAAGATAGGTCATAGTGAGGTAAAAACACTCACCGCCGCTCGCAAGAATCCCCTGCGCAGTCTGCCACCCGTCATATTCCAATACCTTGGTCACCAGTCCGTCCAGCAGGCCCCCCACCCGCGCATCCCCGCCCGTAATAACGCTCAACACGCTGAGCGCCTCGACCAGCAGTGCGGCATTGTTCGACTGCAGACTGGTATCCGTGACGGCACAGCTGTCGGCGGCAAGGGCGGCCATCGGAAGTCCGCGCGGGGCGTCCCACAGATGCGTGCGGATGAAGGAGACGGAGGCGACCGCGGCATCGAGGTAGGTCGTGTTGGACGTCGCTTGGGCCAGCATGGCCGACAGGAGCGCAAAGTAGCCAGTCGCGCGGGCGGAGAGGGTTGGAGAGGAAAGGGTCGAGGTTGCAAACGTCCCGCCCGTGAGTGGGCCTGGATAAAGGGACATCAGAGAAGTATTGAGCGGTAGGAATGACGCACCAGTAGCACAGCTCGTAGAAATGGATGGCGCTTTGCTCGCGAGGCGGTTGGTGCCAGGGGAAATGGTGTATGTGTTGGCCCATTCCCAGCACTGCACAGCGTATCCGAGCAGCTGGGCGTTGTTCAAGGTGAAATGCGCTCTTGCAGCGGAGTATCCCCAAGCTCTACCGCCAGATATTTAAGAAACACGAACACCTTGAAGAAATGCGACTCACAACGCGAAGTCCACTCTGCCCAACACATGCTCGGTCAACAACCCCACCACCGGAAGCCGCCCACTCACCCCGTGTTCCCAAACGCCGCGCGCACCCTGAGCGCGTCGCCCATGAAGCCGACGATGGGCTCCTGGTACGTCGTCGTGTTCCCGACGACCTCCTGCTCCGCCATCTGCCCGAGCACGTGTGCGAGCTGCTCGTACGGCGGGCCCACGTACACCTGGTTCGGGCGGAACACCGCCACGGCCTGGAAGAGCGCCGCGAACGCTTGGTGCGTCCGCGCGCCGTTCACGTTCGCGAAGGTCGGCTTCTGTTGGGCTTCAGCCATGAAGGGGAAGAAAAGAGAAAGAGGAACGCACCCGCCACGTCGCCGATGCGATGCTCGCTCCCTCCACCATCACTACCACCAGCGAGAACGCCAAAAGAGCGAGAGGCAGCATGGCAGCCAGGAAAGAAAAAATGCCAAGCACGTCGGGCGTCAGGCTTTATAGTGGTGGACGGGGCCGACATCGCTTCGTCGGCCAACACGGACCCATTTCTGGGGATTCGCGGCGGAGGAGGAGGGAAAGAAGCGAAGCGTGGCGGTGCTTCAGGGCATGATGCTAGATTGCCGAAGGATCTGCATCATGATTGCTTTCCGCTGGGTATCTGCGCGTGAGATTTCGGCCTGCTTCGGCCGTGCGAGACGCATCACGTCATCTCGATTCGTCACATCACCTCCTTGTTATCTATTCGGCGAAGCCTTATTCTCCTGCGTTGCCGTGCAACGTTGAAGAATAAAAGGGGCATAGCAACATTTCTTCTGGTCTCTACGGGCGGACCCACAGATTGCGGCCTTATAAATCAGCACATTATCAACAGTTCATGTTTGTCTAACCCACGACTAGGACAGCTGCCCACTACCACACACCAAACCCATCAGACACAATAAGCACTACCCATGGCGGTCCTCAGCATCCGCACCATCCGCTTCTGCCCCACGCTGGCCCGGCACGTGTACGACGAGTCCGCATGCTGCCGGCGCTGCCGCGTGCAGCGCGCCCTCACGAACGCGCGCGACGCCACGCACGCATTCCTCACGCGCCCGCGCGCGCCGGCGGAGTACCTCGGCGCGCTGCTGGTGCTCCTCAACGTCGTCCTGTTCCTCACCTGCACCCTCCCCGGCAACCTGACCGAACGCACACCCGCCGCCGCCGCGCGCTGTGCTGCGGAGCGCACGTGGGCGCGCTGGATCGGCCTGGGGCTGGGGCTCGTGCTGTTCAGCACGGCGTTCGGGCCGGCCGGGTGGTGTGTCGCATCTGAAGGTAATTGTTGCATCTGAATGGATGTCCAAAGGAAGTGTCACATCTGTTTAACTGCTTGTCGTGATCGGCCTGGGGCTGGGGCTAGTTTTTGAAAATTTAGCAACGTCACGGGTTTCCCAAAATGGGTAAGAGATCACATGCACCCGCCGCCAACCCGCCGCACCCGCCCTGCTGACAATGCGAGGGCAGGTGAAGGTCTGTGACTACTCATCAGGAAACACGGTAACTGCCCTGGTAGCGCTACAGGAGCATCTATAGCACTCATAGCTCTGTAGACAAGTTGCCTGATATATAGCGCTACAGAGTGCTATGGGAGCATATGCCAGTGCTATGGTAGAGCCCCCATAGCGGTGCCATAGCACTCCCATAGTCTTATATATCAGCCTAAATATACTGCAATAAGAGACAAATATTACTGCCGCTGCCCCACTACTGGCCAACTGAGAAGGCACAGGAGATAAGGCAAGGGACACTTTGAAGGCTTAATGGGTTACTTAAGATTATGATTATTACTTATTACTAAATGGCAACTGTGGGACTTGAACCAAAGACCTTGTGAAAAATCCACAAATAACAACGGAGTAAAGCAGATGGAATCAACTAGACCAAGTAGAGAATAGAATATATTCTTTCTCAGTAACTATAATGTGGCCTGGAACTGACTTGATGCTCTGACTATTTTGTCACATACCTTCTACTTGTATCCCAACTAGTCCCTTCAGCTATGTATGATATTGGTAGTGAATATATACTCACTATTATTCAACTTTTATACAAACTTCTAATTTTTTATATGAGGAAATAGTATTGTGAATAGTTAGGAGCAATGGATTCATAGTCATTCATACTCTAGCTAGTGATGTTGGTAGCGCTATGGTAGCTGGTGATAGCCAGCAGTAAATACTACAACAGTATTCATATCTTTGATACTGATGTCTATAGCGCTACAGAATGCTATGGAGTTTCAGAAGATGTCTATGGTAGCGCTATAACAGCTATGAGGCCACACATATCTTGGCTGGCAGTTCCATAGCCGAATCCGTGTTTCCTGATGCTGTCACCTCTTTACCCTCTCCCCCATCATCATCCATGCCACACCAACCTGCTACCGCGGCAGTGCTGCCACTGCCAATGCTCCTCCCAACACATTCGGGCGCCGGACGCTCGACCCCCCTCGGATGACATCACGATTTTGGGGGCGGCGGTGGCATAGCCTATTCTGCCCAGTCTGGCAGTGTTGGGACAGTGACTACTGTTGCCTGACGCGATAGAGGACCTTGCAAGACTGTTGGGGGCATCACTGGCAAGCGTGCAGCGCGGCCGGCCGCTCCGGACGGTCTGGTGTTTTGGCGGGCCCGAGCTGCAATCCAGAGGAGTCCGACTAAGAGGCCGGTGAGGGGTGGATGGAACAGAGGGGACAGTTAGCATGGGGGACCAAGAGTGGATAACGGCGAGCAGACGAGCAGAGTGTGCCTGGCGCTCGCCGTCCGGGCGGTTCGACAACTCGGAGTCCCGAGTGGTCGTCGGCTGTTGAGAACTGCGTCATCCGCTGGTAGTTGAAATGTGTAATTCAAGACAATAATAAATATTTACAATGAACTTCAAGTTGCCATATGCCACTGTGTATGAAGCACAGTGCAGCGCATCAATCCCGACCACAAGGCGCTGTCACGTGGGTGAATTACCATATTGGATGCTGTGCATCCTCGTGACGTTGCTAAAATTTGCGCAACTGATGGGGCTCGTGCTGTTCAGCACGGCGTTCGGGCCGGCCGGGTGGAGACGGTGGATGATGAGCCGGCCGGCGCCGAAGGGTGCGGAGGAGGACTGGGATTTCGAGCCGCGAGAAGAGGACTCGGCCGTCGACTCGGGCTCCGCGGACACAAAGGGACAGGGCCCTATCATGATCGGACTCCACCTGCACAAGAACTAGGCCTGGTCCTTCTGGTCCATAAAGTCCGACTCAAGTATCTCACGATTCACGATGGACAAGCTTGTTATCCTTGGTCTCTTATACTCGTGCCGTATTGCAATAAATTTTCCTTCATCTGTAGCTTGAGTGTTCTAATGCCGCTCCCACGCCGTCATCCGCCACGTCACCCACGCCGTCACACCGCGTCACCGCTTCCTCCACACGTCCATCCCCGATCGCCGATGCAGGGCCCCGCCGACTTTGCGCCGTTTGCCTTCGCAGGGAACCCGTACCAGCAGGCGCCGCCTGCGCAGAACACGCTCCACGGCGGCGGCGCGGACCCGAACGCGCCCGAGCTCTTCCGCGCGAACGTGCAGATCGTCCACGCCGAGGTGCTCCGCGTGCAGGAGCTCGCGAAGCGCGCAATGGACGGCGTGTGCGTGGCCCTCGCTCTCTATGCTCAGCTGCTGACCAGGTCTAACAGACGGAACGCGTATTCGCCGGGCCGCACGCCCGCGCAGACCGACGGTCTGTCGTCTTCCACCATATGAGGCCCATCTCACGTGGCCAACAGCTGATCTGGCCGCGCTGAAGCAGGCGCTGGAGCACCTGGCTGCGTTGATGCGGCAGAGCGGCGTCGGCGGGCTCCCGCTGCTCCCGAACGCGACCGCCGCCCCGCCGTCCGAGGACGCGCTGCTCGGCCTCACGACACGCACCCTCGCCGAGCTGTACGAGCGCCACAAGCGCATGCAGGAGGGCGCACACGTCGTCGCCAACCGTCTCGGCCACCATGTCCCCGCGCAGAGCCAGAGCCAAAGCACTACGAGTAGTCAGAGCCAGGGCCACAGTCAGAGTCAAGGACGGAAGTAGGCCCGCTTGTAGCGTGCGTGCTGCCTTTCTGTCTCACTGCGCTGTCCTCATTGTGCTCATGCAGATGTTGTACCCAATACGCAAAACAAAATGAAAACGAGGGTTCAAGTTGTTGGTACTCCGGCCTGAGCGACGGGAGACAGCCTCCGGGCCGCCGATCCAACCCATTGTCTGTACCAAAAACAACTGCTTGTACTTCACTGCGCATAGCATGTGTCCAGTCGCGGACCGAACGGCAGGCTGAACGCGGGCGCCAAGCGGCCAGGCCCCGTGCTCATGCGCATGTTGTACCTGCGACACAAGCGAGCAATATGAGAGCGACCGCTCGTGTCTGGAGTTGGCATGCTGGGACGGCGCAGAGCATACATCCTCCCCACCGCCATCTCAGCGCGCTTTCCTTGTAAATACTAAAAAAAATAAGCCAAGATGCATATGTCGACAACATGGACCGCTCAGCGCCGGATCGAACGGCAGGCCTCAGGCTGAACGGGGGGCGCCAATAGGAACAGGCAGTCTTTTTCTCGTTTCAATAAGCTTCTGCCGCGGGGATGGGCGGATTTCCAACGGATTTCCGTATTCCATCTCCGAGTCCCCGCCCACGACTCAGACCGTGCGCGCCGTGCACCATGGGCCGGTGCCTGCACGGCCGCAGCGCGTGAGCACGGCTGCGCGAGGACGAACGCGGCGGGGGCCATCCAGATATCCTGTTTTGCGGTTGCATGTTTGGCCATGGGCTGTCTTCTGTCCATTTGGACAGCGGAACGATGCCCCTCCTCTCCTCACCACTGGCAAAAAAAAATAATCAGTCTCCGTTCGTGTTATTGTCTGCAGTGCGGGCGGGGTCGAACGGTGGCGCAGACTGGTGCGGTGCTCAGCGTACTGTTACTGTTTGCTGAGTGTGCGTCACCAGCAGCACTGCGGCGGCAGTTGCTGGCACCTCTGCAGTACCAGTGCAAAAAAAGAGGCTATTGTAAACCCTGGTGTGAAGTACCCAACCAGGCTAGTGCTGGCCTATTATGGTATTATTATGCCAAATGTATAATAATAATATCATAATATAGTCCTCAGCAGCAGAATATACCCATAATATAGAATGATAATAATAATGTGAAATATTATACTATAATTTATTATACTATTTTGTCATATATTATCCTGCTTCACCAAACTTTTAACACTTTCAACCTGCTCTTGCGGCATACACACGGCAAATTGAAAAACTTCTTTCCCAGTAAAAACATGAATTAATTTTACACATTTTTATATACATTTCTCAGTGAAAGAAATACTGAATTTTAATTGCATAGAAACAGATATCAAAACAATGCCTTTTTGCTTGTGTTTCAGACAGACAGAAAGCTGACCTTTCCCTGATCATGAAAGACGATTTGAAAGATGGGCTTTCAATGCTTCTTTCTGTTTATATAAAAAGGTCACCTTTGTGTAAAAACAAAAAGATCACTTGAAATTGCCTCTTTTTGTGTTCCTTTTTAAGCTGCACAAAGAACTGATTTCAATGATGCAGAAAGACGCTCAGAAAGATGTTCTTTCCCTTTCTCTTTTGTTGCCATACAAAGATGTTCTTTGTTCCTGAAAGAAAGAGAAAGAGAAAGAACATCTTTCCCTGCACCTTTCTAATGCAGCAAAAGATAGCCTTTTTGGAGATACAGAAAGTCAGAGAGAAATAAGATATTTATTTTATACCCTAGGGTATACCCCGCAGCTCAGCTAAGGTTATCTTCTATGTACGTAAAGTGCACTCCTATAGTATCTAACTCCCAGTTAACCTTGCCAGCGCCACAACAAGTCTTAATGCCCTCGCCAACATTCTCATCAAAGAGGGCTTTGTAGCCCGTGGTCGGCAATGGAGACATAAACAGTGCCACAACAAGAAGAGGACCACACACATCTGAGTACGTGTTAAATCCACTTTCATACCGGGCGCGGTCATTTGTGTACAGCAACGGCGGTCATCAAAAGTATCCTCCAGGACCCGTTCTTGACAACGGAATCCTATACTGGTGTCTGCGAATCCTTTCCTTGCAGACCGGTTCCACTATCCAAAGAATCGCGCATCACTGTTTGGAACGCCTACTGACAGGTATTTTCTGCTGTTATTCGCAAGTCAAGGAGCAAGAATCACGTCTTGCACCGATTCCAGTCACATCACATTTTTCTTCCTGCCAGCGCTGTTGGGCGCGCTCTGCGCTATCACAAGTCTGGTGTTTTGTCTGACCGCACTCTGCGTCAACCAACTACGCAACGTATTGAAGGCGGAAGTCGTCCAAGTTCCATACTTGCCAAGCAACCGAACGAGCAGAACGCTTCCTGACAATCACAAACATGGAGCATTTATGAGGGCGCCGCTACGGCCAAGAGACTGGAACATTTAACTTCTCTCGTTCCCCCAGGGAGTTCGGCGGCCCTCTTTGATCCGCCGCCCGTCGAAGGCCTGTCCGGTAAAGACGGAGGGATGAGGCGGTCGTTATGGCGGCCTATTTGATTCCATGCATGCCTACTTGCCATCCAAGCCATAGGAACTAAGTACAGGAGGAGGGTGGAGAGTTCAGTGGTGTATGACGGCCGCGTCAATGAAGACGGTGGAAGTTTGTCAACCGGCCGGCGATTGGGCAAGACGCGATGCCGATGGGTTGGATTTTGGTCGGTGGGACTGACTGAGATTGCTAGCATCAAACTAGTATACTAGTATCATAATTTGCACTTTACATAGAAGATAACCCGAGCTGAGCTGTGGGGTAGACCTAGGGTATATCCAAGGGTATACCCTCGGATATACCCTAGGGTATAAAATAAATATCTTATTTCTCTCTGACTTTCTGTATCTCCAAAAAGGCTATCTTTTGCTGCATTAGAAAGGTGCAGGGAAAAGATGTTCTTTCTCTTTCTCTTTCTTTTAGGAACAAAGAACATCTTTGTATGGCAACAAAAGAGAAAGGGAAAGAACATCTTTCTGAGCGTCTTTCTGCATCATTGAAATCAGTTCTTTGTGTGGCTTAAAAAGGAACACAAAAAGAGGCAATTTCAAGTGATCTTTTTGTTTTTACACAAAGGTGACCTTTTTATATAAACAGAAAGAAGCATCGAAAGCCCATCTTTCAAATCGTCTTTCATGATCAGGGAAAGGCTCAGCTTTCTGTCTGTCTGAAACACAAGCAAAAAGGCATTGTTTTGATATCTGTTTCTATGCAATTAAAATTCAGTATTTCTTTCACTGAGAAATGTATATAAAAATGTGTAAAATTAATTCATGTTTTTACTGGGAAAGAAATTTTTCAATTTGCCGTGTGATATGATTCAGTAGCAATATCATGTAATGCTGTATACCTCTCTTAGATTGTGCTTAGAGACCTTCAAGTAATATATGCGTTGCCTTATTTGACCATATTGCAATATTCAAGTTGATAGTATGTAGAGATAGTGTTTTTTGTTCAGACTAAACATTCTCTCACCCTGGTAGTTTATAGTCCGACCAGATATACATAAGTGTTTCTCAACTGTTATCACCAACAGGGATCCACTAGCCTTAGGAATATGAGCAATTCAAGGTGGACAAATATGACTAGAACAAGAATAGAATGTAGTACTAGCCATTGGACGAGCAGCCTTTGTAGAAAGCTTATGAGGTTGGGGCTAATATCTAAGTGACTGAAATAATCTATTATAATATAGAGTTTGGGGCTGATATCTAGGTGACTGAAATAATATATTATGCTGGAGCCATAATAACAATATTATAATATCGTAATATAATATGATATGGAATAATAATAATAATCATTTCTGCCACCAGACATAATATAATTGTAATAAGAATAGTAATATGGTATAATGACAAATCATAATATAATAATAGCTAGCACTAAACCAGGCTGGTACATATAAATATGCATCATCGTCTCTAACAACAGAACTTGAACCAGAAAGATCTGTGCCCTAGACCTGTCCTTGATGCATCATTCTGTCGGTGAATCTCTTGGACCTTGGTAAGCCAGGGCATAATTTCAAGATGATGTTCCCCTCAACAAGGTTTATTACAATGATCAACAGTTTTTGTCATTGTTGTCCACACTGAGCACAACACCTTGCCAACAATTTCAGAAAATTCTGACAATATTTAGGTAGGTATGTAGGTGTCAGGGGAACCCCCCTTTCACTCCGGTCCGATTCCGGTTCCGACTCCGGTCTGGCCCTCCATCTCGCCCGCACAATCACCGATCCGTCAACGCCCTCCCGACGGTCGCCCTGGGACCTCGCCTGCAACGCCGCCCAAGCCTTCTGTGCCCGACAGCGGCAGCTACGGACAAGCAGTATATAGTCAGCTACCTAGCAGGCGGACCCTCAGAGTTTCTTCTCTTTGGATCCTCCCCTGCTAGGTCAGCTTCATTTGTATTCGCTTACCAATGTTCACGCTTTGGATCCTCCCCTGCTAGGACCTTGATCTCAGGCCTCCGGGGTTGCCCTTACAGCAGAAGAAACTCTCTACGGGATCAACCGGACAAGATTGCCAGGTTCGGCGCTGACTCAGGCTCGGAGTACGAGTCCGTTCCGCCCTCGTCACCGCCCCTGCCACTTGTCGCCTCCTCCTCTACTCCTGTGGTCCCCGCACCCGTCATGCCGTCCGGAGTCACTCCTACCGCAGACACCCGGCTGGACTCACTCGAGGCGAAAATTGATAGCCTAACTGAGGCCCTTACTTTACTCACCAACCAGGCTTCCGCTGCCGCTGCCGCTGCTAAGAATGCTGGCGCACCCCAAACACCTTCGCCGGAGACGTCGATTCTGACTCCGACTCCGGTCCAGGGCGACTCCGAAGCCCATTTTGGTGACATCAACCTCGCCTCAAAATTGGTCTTGCGACCAAACCCCCCGTTCACCTTCAACGGCAATGGGAAACGCGGTCCGCACCTACGCCCACCTTGCCCCTGAGGCCTTTGTGGTCAACGGAGAGGCGAGCGAGGAAAAGGCCGTCTGCTATGCCA